GATACCTAAGCTAGATAAAGACATTTGAAATAAGAATAACTATAAACCCATATCACTACTCAATACTGATGTAGAAATTCTAAAAAAACCCAATACCACATTATGAAAAACATACACCCTGACCATGGTGAGATTCATTCCAGGAATGCAAGGATCAGGTCCTAGCACAGTGGCTCAAGCCTGTAATCTCAGCACTTTGGGAGGCCGAAGTGAGCGGACTGCCTTAGCCCACGGGTTTGAGAACAGCCTGAGCAACTTGATGAGACCTCATCTCTACAATAACTAAAAACATTTAGCTGGGCATGGTAGCGTGCACCTGTAGTTCTGGTTACTTGGAAGACTGAGGTGTAAGGATCACCTGAGTCACCGGGGTGGCTGTGAGAATGCCACTGCCACTCCAGCCTGAGTAACGGAGTGAGACTCCAACTCAAAAAAAAAAAAAAAGACATCAGATGCCATGTTAATAAATCTAAGAAAATAATGCATATGATTATCTCCATAGATGCTGAACAAGTCTTTGCAAAATTAAACATTCATTCATGGTAACACTAAATAGGCACGGAAGGATACTTTCTTAATATAATAAATTATATATACACAACTCAATCCTAAAGCAAGTTTCTTGTTTATCAGACAACAAAAGTATTTCTACTCAAATGAGGAGCAAGGTAAGCATGCCTACTATTCCTGTTACTATTCTACACCATACTTGAGGTATTAGCCAGTGCAATTAGATAAGAGAAAACAATAAGAGGCATATAGATGGGTAAAAAAGAAGTAAAACTAACTACTTTCAGAAGATATCATAGTATACCTGGAAAACTCCAGAGAATCAGTGAGATAAGAGAATTTAAAAGTTCAGTTAAGTAGCAAGATATAAACTGACACAAAACTCAACATCTGTCATATACACAAACAACACTGGGCATGATTTACATGTCCATTTACAATAGCAACCAAGAAAATAAAATATATATAACTGAGTTTAACAAAATATTTGCAAAACTTACATAAGGAAAATTTTTAAGACACTTCTAAAAGACACAAAAGAAGATTTGAATAAATAGAATGATAGCCTCTGTTTTTGATAGGGCAACTGAATATTACAAAGATTAGTTCCCTAAATTAATATATAAATTCTGTATCATTCCAATAAAAACAACAAGCTATACTAGTGGTTTTCAACTTCCAGTGGATTTTGCCTCCCAGATGACATTTTGCAACATCTGGAGATATTTTTGGTTGTTATAAACAGAGAAAGAAATTAGTAACAAGCTAAGGGCCAAAATGAATCCTGAGGTACTGAATTGGAATCAGAAGTATTAGTACAACTCATGGTTTATATAATATATACAGATAAATATAGAAATAAAAAAGTGGGTATATGTATGTGTTACTCTACATACATGTATTTCCCAGCTCTGTCTGCAGAGAGGATCTAAGAACAACAAGAACTGCAGTAGGCAGACTCTAAGGAGGACCCCCAGTTTCCCTGCCTACTGGTACTGGTGTGTTCGTGCTCTGTATAGGGCCCTTCTCTTGAGTACAGGCAGGAGCTGTGACTAACAGAGTATGGCAAAGGTGATGGGATGCCATTTCATTATATAAGCCTCCATCTTGCTAGAGTATTTGGCTCTAGAGACTCTTCATAGCTGGCTTTGAAGTAAATAACCATGCTGGGAGACCAGGTGGCAAGAAGCTAATGACAGCCTCTAGCTGACAGCAAGAAGCTGAGGCCCTGTGTCCTATAACCACAAGGAAGTGAATTCTGTCAATAACCTGTGTGACTGTGGGAGCCGATCTTCCCCAGTGTAGCCTCCAGATGAGAACCAGCCTGGATGACACCTGTAGTGCAGCTCTGTAAGACCCTTGGCAGAGCACCCACCTAAGTGGTGTCTAGACTGTTGTTTAAAGCCACCAGCCTCATGAAAATATTACTATGCAGTAGTGGCTAACTAATAGAACACAATATAAGCAATGAGCATGCCTAGGGCTCAGATCTCTGTTTCTAAACAAAATCCTCAAATTAAGGTAACCAGGTTTCTGTAAAAAGAGCCTGGTTCTGGGGTTGGCACAGGAAAAACACAAGGTGAGCCTGGACTATCTTGGGCATCAGAAAGTAAAGAAGTGCTCAAAATGGTGTGAAGTCTTATCAAAGAAACACAGAAGCCAACCTGAAGGAACTCCTAATGGTCAAAGTTGGGATAACTTGAGCAACAAAATAAATGTTGACAGTACCAGATTTTCGTTAAAACAACAAAACAGATGCCCATGAGTCCATACAGATATTAAATAAATAGAGGGCAAAAAGACAGTTCTTCCTTACAGATGAATTCCAATACATGTAGAAGGAAAGAGGGAAACAGAAAATCACTATACTGGGAGAAACCACAGGAATAACTGTAGCAGGCAAGGTCCACCAGTGGATGATAAAATTAGAGGGTAAAAGTTTGAGAAATGGACTACATAAACTCCAAGTACCTTCCCCAGTGTTCATCAATTATAAAGGGAAAGATCGTACCTTTACAGTGAAGAGACCCAGCAAACAACACCTGAACTAAGTGGTCAAGGCTAACATTACCAGTAATGAGATATACTGAATGACAAAGTCTTGATGTAAGGGGAAGGACATTATCATTTCTGTGGAATTTTTGTCAACAATGCACAATAGCATTGCAATCATGAGAAAATATCAGATAAACTCAAATTAAGGGATAGTCAACAAAGAAACCAACCAGGAGTCTTCAAAGGTGTCAAAGGCACAAAGACTGAGAAACAGTCGCAGGTTGGAGGATGCTTAGGAGAAACACAACTAAATGGGATGTGGGGTCAGGTGTAATGGCTCACTCCTGTCATCCCCACACCGTGGGAGGTTGAGGCAGGATTGCTTGAGCCCAGGAGTTCAAGACCAGACTAGGCAACATAGTGAGACCTTGTTTCTACCAAAAAAGTTAAAAACTAGTCAAGTATGCACCTGTAGTCCCAGCTACTTGGGAGGCTGAGGTAGAAGGATCACCTGAGCCCAGGAGGTTGAGGCTGCAGTGAGCGGTGATCATGCTACTGCATTCCGGCCTGGACGATAGAGTGAGACCCCCAACTCAAAAAAAAAAAAAAAAAAAAAAAATATATATATATATATATATATAAATGTGAAGTGGGACTCTGGATAGAATTCTAAAACAGAAAAGGATGTTAGTGAAAGTCTACAGCTTAGTCAACAGGATTGTACCAATGCTACTACTGTTCTAATTTTGATCATTGTATTGTGGGCATGTAAGACTTTAAAATAAGGGAAAACTGGGTGTGGGTCATATGGGAAACCTCTGTACTATTTTTACCAACTTGATGTAAGTCTAAAATTAGCTCAAAATAAAAAGGTTAATTTACAACTCAGTAAAAGGATAAATAACCCAATTGAAAAAAGGGCAAAGGATCTCAAACAATTATCCAAGGAAAAAATAAAAATGGCCAGTAAGCTCATAAAAAGATGCTAAATGACACTGGTCATCAGGGGATTGCAAAGCAAAACCTAGTGAGGGACCACTTCATACCCACTAGAATGGCTAGAATCAAAGTCATGTAAAAACAAATGTTGGTGAGGATAAGGAGAAATCAAAAACCACATACACCATTGGTGAAATGTAAAATGGTACCACTGCTTTGGTAACAGCCTGGTAGTCTTCAAACAATTAAACACAGAGTTACCACACAACTTGGCAATTCTACTCCTAGGCATATACTCAAGAAAAGAAAAAATTATATACAAAACCTTGCACACGTTTTCACAGCAGCATTATTCACAACAGCCAAAGATGAAAACAAACCAAATGTTTGCCAAAAGACAAATGGATAAACAAATTGTGGCATATCTATACAATGGAATATTATTTAGTCATAAAAAGACTGAGATACTAATACATGCTACTATATGAATGAACCTTTAAAACATACTGGGTGAAGGAAGTCAGTGCAAATACCTCACATTCTATGGCCCCATTCATGTGAAATGTCTAAATAGGAAAATCTATTGAGACAGAATTAGATTTGTGACTGCCCAGAGCTGGGATAGGGGAGTGATAACTAAAGGGTATGGGGTTTCTTTTTGAGGTAAAGAAATATTCTAAAACTGATTGTGGTGATGACTGCACATATCTGTGGACATATTTAAAAAAAAAACCACTGAAATATACACTGTAAATGGATGAAATATATGGTATGTGAACGATAACTCAATAAAGCTGTTTTTTTTAAAAAGTCCCTTAGTTCTTTATTTTACCTTTAATTTGCTTCTCTTTCACCCTCCCTTGTATTACTGCCATCTGTTGAGTATTGTCTTAAACTGTCAGAAGTGTCTCTTCTGTTGGATGTGATAGTCTAGCTCAGTTAAGAACTTTATTAAGAAGTTCTTATTTTTCAAAATATCTACAGAAGTTTTTTTAAAAATTAAAGCACTCAATACTTGAGATGTTTAAAATACTACAACAAAAAGGATAGATGAAGCAAATATAGCAAAATGTTGATATCTGTTGAGCCTGAGGAATGGTTAAACTGATGGAGGACACTTCTTTTTGTGGGGTATATTTGAAATTTATAAAAATAAAAAGGGCTGTTACTCTTTGAAAGTAAAGGACACATAAACCACTTTAACATCTAGGGAACAAGGTAGGAAATAAATAAATGGGGATAATAGATATGGAAAATAATGACTTGTAAATCATAAATTTTAAAAATTATAATTATCAAGCTACAATTTAAAAAATGCCAGTAACAAACTGAGAACCAAACAAAAGTAAACCAAAGCCAAATAACCCCCCAAAAAAGCCTGTTCAAAGAACACATTTCTTTAAATCTTACCCAAATCCTACTGTACTGTTACATGCCAACAATATATGTCTTACTAATTGTCACAAGTGTTTAAGTATTAATTCAGGCAAGAATTACTTTTAAGTATATATGTTTATAGCAGCATACTAAAATCACTCTAATATCACTTGAAATACTTACTCTCTGAGGCTTGGCTCTTTTAAAGAAATAGGAGCACACCTTCTTCTTCTGCTTGTCAGCTCCAAAGACAGATCTTCTGACATGTTTTCAGATTTAGCAGTGATTTTCGAAACAAAACTGGTATTTGTCAAGTTCTGTAATGGTCTGCCACCTGAAAGAGTATTATTTTCCACAAATATTTGTAAAAGTATGAGATGGGCCCCAAAACCCCAGAATTATCTTTTGGAGGGTGGGTCCCTTGTAGTATAAGCTTTTCCTGCTAGGTAAGTGTTCCAGGAATCCATTGGCATCAATGTACCAGCCAGTGTCGTTGTGAGAAGCTGCGTTTGGTTTCAGTAAAATTTTTTTAGAGATTCTTTCAATGTGTTTGCCCATTTCATGATGGTTAATTTACAAGCTCACCTGCCCAAACCACAGTGAATGTTCAGCAGTTTTTGACCCAAACTGGCAAGACCCCCATGCCCCACACTCCCTATTCATAACCTCACCCAAGCAAGTATTTTTTTGTTTCCCCAGATGAAAAAGTCCTCATAGGGAGCGTGTTGCTAATGTGGAAGAGCTGAAACAAAAAATGGCGGAAGCACTAAAAGGCATCAAAATTGAAGAGTTCAAAAACTTTTGAACAGTGGAAAAAGCATCTTGATAGGTCTGTTGCATCAAAGGGAGAGTATTTTGAAGGTGACTTAAGTTTAAACATGTAAGAATAAGTACACAATTTTTTATAAATAGATTACAGGCTTTTTTTGGGTCCCCCCCCATATATAGAGATCGAAATAATATGGGCTATGTAGTGGTTTGCAAATCATTGCAGCAAATTTATTTCAATTTAAAGACAGGGTACAATTCAGGATTAGGTATACAAGTGGACATCATGCAGGGAAAGTTTGGGCCTCCCTTTGGTCCTCACTTTGCCTGGTTTGAATCATGTACCCTTACTGATGTTGGATCCCCGCCCCCAAGGACAGTATTTCTGTTATTGCCAATTCCTTTCTTATAGTATTATGGTAAATGTTCAGGGTCCGCTTATGAGTGAGAACATGTGGTACCCTGTTCTTTGTTTCTATGATAGACCACTGAGTATTACAGACTCTAAATCCATCCAAGTTGCCACTGCAGCAAATTTTAAACCTTAATTCTATTTGGAGAGGAGAGAGGCTAAAATTTGAAACAAGCTCTCAAAGTAGCTTGCAACCTTTTTATCCTGAAATCACATATGGGCTGACAAAAATTCCGCATAGTTCAACTCTTTCCATAGGAGCACACAAATGCCTGCATGTTCATGTGGCATCTCTGCATGAACTCACACTGTGAAAGGAACCACGGGGCGCACAGAGGAAAATGTCCCAGCGGTCCCCTAACATGTCTCTGCGACTTCAGACCTTTGGGCTTCCTTTGCTTCAGTATGCTTTTTACCCAGAATGGACTTACCCACTAAACCCTATTGTTCTACACATATATGTTGAAATGTTAGGCTCTCAGTAAATCATTTTAGTTGGTATAGGAATGTCTAGTGTTACAAAACTTCTAATGGCAAAAGAACATCCTTAGAATCCAATGTTAAGGAAAAAAAGTGGGATAAGTAACGTCCTAATGGTATGATTTCAAATATACATTTAAAAATCCATAGAGTCAAGTCTGCAAGCACATAGCAAATGTTGCCTACAGTTCTTCCAAGTGATTTTTCCCTCTCTTTTGCTGATTCTCTACTTTCAATTTTCAAGAATGAGTATTATTTTAAAAACTGGGGCAAAACAAAAAGTTAATACTACATGTAAAAATCTTACTGACCCTTCAGAGCTTAAAATGCTACCAATTTAACAATGTTTTACAGATTCCTCTAGTCAAAATTACTCCCCAGTACATCCCCTGGCATAACTGATGTGCATTCATTCAAGAATCATTTACCATGCCTCACCCCTGTGCTTGTTACTTTTACATACATGGATTTTGAGGAAAGGGGTTGGTACTGCTTAGTTTTCAGTCCTCTACAGCACCTATATATGCTGTTGAATGGAGAAAGAATCCCAAACTCAAGAAACCTGCAACTGTCTTTGGTAAAACAAAACCAGTGCAATTCATTATTATACACACTTAAAACACTCAATTTCCTTGAGACATATGAAAAACTAGTTGCCCTAGCCAACTCTGTAGTAAAGGCCATCCAGTTTTTTAGGTTGTAAATGTCTTTTGTGGAAGACATTAGAATTTATTTAAATTCCTCCATGCTGTTTCTGCAGCTCATGCTACCCAGCTACCTATTTGTTTTTCAATTCCATAAAAATATCAGTTATAACAGGAAATACCCTACTGGATAAGTCGCAAAAAGAAATACTTCTACAATGTCATCACTACAGATTATCGACCTACCTGTTCCTGATTTTTGCATTCTTTGGTTGACTTGACATTTCCTTTCGTTCATCTTCTCATGCTTGTCACCACTTAACTGAAATGCTGGTGAGCACTCCAGGGCAGAATTTTCTTTCATTATCAGATTTTTGCTAGAAGAAATACACAAAGGTACTGCATCTTCATGAACACTGTCAAAGGAAGACTCTTGTATGGTAGGTGAATATATCTGAGATAAAGATTTGAACATTTTTCTGTAAAAGTCTGGCTTATTTTTGACCATTTTCTCATTCTCCAAATTGTTTTCCTTATCAGCTTTTTCAAATTCAACAGACTTTCCCTGATCATTGTCAAGAATTCTCTCCACTGTTTCATGGCTCTCTGAAGAAGGATCTACGAAGGTCTTTCTTTTCTTTGATTTGGATGTCATTTTATTTCCTTTTTTAACCTGGCACTCTCCTTCTTCTATCTCTTCCACAAAAGAAATGTCTCTCTCTCTTTTTTTATTCAGTGTCGTAGTGCTTTGTTTCTGAGTCTTATGTAGTTCAGTGGGGTTTCCCGGATTAGAATCTGCTTCACTAGTGATATATTTTAAATCAGCTTCTAAAGAGATAAATGTCTGTGAAGAGTCTGTTAACTGCAAAGCAGATTTGTTCTTACCTTTTGTCAAAACATTCTTTGCCTTGCCCGATGACTCTTTCCTATGCTTTTTAACTAGTTTGCAAGAATGTGAAATGTGATCACAATTTTCCTTTTCATTATTGTTGATTTCCATATAGTGTCCACTGGTAATACCTTCACATTCAAGTCTTTGTTTAGATTTATTCATCTTAAAATCAAGATCTCTTGTATAGCTTTCTTGGCCATGTACATCTTTATCATTATCCTCATATATCTGGTTCATTTCAGAAGTTACTTCTGTAGTGTTCCAATTTACTTTATGCCTAAGCTTCTTATTTATTTTTGATTCATTTTGCTCAGAAGGTTTCATATCAGTGACATACTTTTTCAAATCCAATATATTCTGCATCTCATAATCACACAAATTTTCATTATCTTCGGTTGGAAGGTCAGCTGTTTGAAATTCATTTTGATCTGTGACTTGTAGGTTTTCGGAAATGGTTTCTTTTTCCTTTTGGGTTAGAGAAAAGAAGTTACCTTTTTCTGGGTCACACACACCTTTATCATTCTCATACATTTGGGTGCTTTCAGAAATTATTTCTGTCTTTTGATATGTTTTTCGTCTAAGCTTCTTGTTTACTTTTGAATCATTTTCTTGAGCAGGTTGCATATCATGGACCTGCTTTTTCATCTCCAAAACATTCTGAACCTCATAATCACATAGATTTCCACTATTGCTGGTAGAAAAAACAGGTGTTTGAAACTCACTTGACTCTTCTAGGTTTCCAGGGATGATTTCCTTATCCTTTTGAGTTAGAAAGAGTGAGCTATCCTTTACTGGGCAATACACACTTTTGTCATTGTCTAAATGATTCACTTCAGAAATTATTTCTGTCTTCCGATTGACTTTCTGCCTAAGCTTCTTATTAACTTTTGACTTGCTTTGCTGAACAGGGTACGCATTGGTAATCTGCTTTTGCAAACCCAACACATTCTGGGTCATATCATCATATAGGTATCTGTTATCTCCAGTGAAAAGAGTAGGAATTTGAAACTCTTTTAAATTTTTTAGGTCTCCAGTGATAATTTCCTTATTCTCCTGGGTTTGGAAGACAAAATTGCCTTTCCTGGAGGCACGCACATCTTTATCATTATCCTCAGACATGTGGTTCACTCCAGAAATGATTTCTGTCTTCCGATTTCCTTTCTTCCTAGGCTTATTTATTTTTGATTCATTTTGCTCAGCAGGTTGCATATCAGCGACATACTTTTTCAAATCCAATATATTCTGGGTCTCATAATCACATAAATTTCCATTATCTTTGGTGGAAATATCAAGTGTTTGAAATTCATTTGTCATTTCTAGGTTTTCAGAAATGGTTACTTTATCCTTTTGGCTTGAGAATAAATTATCTACTTCTAACTTATGAATCACAAATGTCTGTCTAAGAGCTTTACTTTTATTACAAGTAAGGGGATTCTGACCCATATCAAATTTACTCTCCTGCTGAAATTTATCTGAACTTTGGGAGGAAAAATATGTTTCCTCTTGCTCATTTATTACACGTGTTCTTCTCTTCTTTTTATTACACTGCGTATTTTGTCTGTCATCTTGATGAAAGCCATTATGAGGGGTTATTTTCTTCAGTAAGTTCACTTGAGTCAATTGTTCAGTACTGAAGATAAAATCTGGATCTTCTGAATCCCTTTTGTCATTCAGGACAACAGATTTTCTTTCTGGTCCATTTTCAATCTTTTCCTCAATATCTACATCTGATCTATTTTTAAATTGTCTCTTTGATTTTTCTCTCTTTTTCTCAGAGCTTGAATCTTTTACTTTTCTGAAAGTTTTCATTCCAAACTCACTTGCTTTTTTATTACTTTTATTTTTACTGCCTGTTGAAACGATAACAATGTTGCTTACTTCACTAGCAGTTAGATCCATGTCAGCATCATACAGAGTTTTCTGCAACTGAAAGTCATTATTATCTTGAACTTGATTCACGCACTCTGCATTAGGTTCACTGGCAGACTTTGAAGATACCTCAGGAAGACACTGTGCATTTCTTTGCATTTCAGCATTCATTTTGTTACTATGATCACTTATCTCATTATTCCAATTTAATTCTGAACTGGAAATGTGCTGTTGATCTAAAAGTGTCACACAGGGAGTGTCTGCAGAAAGATCATTTGAATCCCAAGATGGCCCACGCTTCCTCCTTTCAGTCACATTACTAGGAGAAGGTCGTTCCCATCTGTGGCTGATAGACAAGGCATCCTTCATCTCATTCATTAGAGAACTCTTAGAACTTTGGTCTGAGTGAGAATGGCTTTCTATATAAAAAAGAACAAGAAAATGCAGAAATAAGTAATACATTACTTTATGCAAATTAGATTAGAAATCAGACTATTTCACAGATAGGATGTCTGACACATTCTGTTCAGATTCTTATATTACTAAGAATCCATGCTTATAAAAAATAGTCTAGAAATGATCACAGTATTCATAAGTCACATTTTATATTTGTATCTATGGATATATACATATAAATATATATTGAAAATTTATTCTGCCTCAGCCCCAAGAGTCTAATGGAGGATAGCCAAGTGGAGCCATTAACATACAGCTCTAGAGTGGAAAGAGGCCAGCAAATGAATCCAAATAACAGTGATCAGTCTGAGGAGGATGACTAGCAAAAGGCTATCAGCAGGCAGCTAAATTTTATATAAATGACAAATACACGCACACACGTACACATTTTCAGAAAGAAAAAATAGTTCCAAACTCAGTTGTGGTTTCATATCCCAATGTGAAAATCTATGACAAATTCATAAGCACCATACTACACCACAGGCCTGCCGTTCAGGAATACCATGTAAATGAAAGGCAAGTGTCATTTTTTTCTTGCTCAATCATTAACCAGGCTCAAGTTTTTGCTTTACCACAATTTGGTTATAATCTTGAAAAAGTTACTGTACCTATCTAGGCCCTCAATTTTCTTATCTATGAAAAGGAGGGGGAAACTATCTTTCAAATTATACACTAAGATACCACGAAATGCTCTATAGGCATTTTCATTTCTAAACATGGCTTCCACAATAACAGCAGATTAGGCCACTCTGGAGCTGACATTTGTCGGAATATTTACTTTTAAATTAACTTTTTAACCAGCAGTTTTAAATGGTAGACATTAGCAAATATGTAGCATAAGAGATCTAACTTATTAACTGTTTATACATCATTGCCCTCAGAAAGACTCATCTGATTAATTTAACTATGCAACATTAATACTCAAAACAAATTTTTAAAACAATCTCACCTTTGGGTAGTACATCAACATTAGAAGAAATACGTTCTGAGTCATCTAAACCATACACATTCTGATTATTTTCTTTAAGAAGTAACAACTCTAAGTCACTTTGAGTTGATAAACGTTGCCTTGTTGATACTGAGGCAGGAATATCAGGTGATGTCTTTGATTTAATATTGTTATCACACTGTGTTTTCTCTTTCTCTTTATCATCATCATCATCATCATCATTGGAAGTTAATGGAACCCTAAAGGCAAGTGAGAATGAAATGAGGAATTATTTTATAGAAATTATGTAGAAAACTACATGAATCGTTCTTTCTATTTAAGATGCAACCAAAAATACACCCTGGCACCTTTTCACATTCAATGAAGATACTTAAAGGTAGGAAATAGGTAGTTTCTAGTAGTACAGAATTTGGAAGGAAATAGGAATGAATGCTTCTTATCTCCTTAGTCATGGTGACCCCAAAAGAAGATAACTGACACAAACTCTAGTCGTACCGTTGGAATACTCCTATTAGTGAAATAAATAAAGTTCAAACATACTTACAAACAGTCATGTCTCATAGTTATACTTTTTCTATAATTAATTCTATGAAATACTCAGAGTATTCCTTTGGTTCCTAGCAAGTATAGTTGTACATAAAATCATGTGTGAAATAAGTTTCCTGTTTCCAAAAGGTGTCCAAATACACTAAAACAATATCCTAGCGTAGTTAAATCGATGGGAGGAAAAAAGACAGAAACCCACAAAAATTATCTGATAAACTAACATACTTGAGTTCAAAGAATGAAGAGGGATATCTTCTGCCAACAGTAAAGATTTTCCTTGCATCCCCAAAGAAATCATAGATATTTTTAAATAAGTTATAATGAGAAAAATAAAAACTGAAAACTTTGAAGGCAGCTACCAGTAGAACAGCTATTGAGAGGAAATTTCTACACCACTTGAGGAAACAAGTTAACAAAGATAAACAGAGAGGTTCTGCTTACGGTAACGGCCACACAGCTGCTATCAGACCAATCTTACAAAACATGACTATAAATTCTGGACAAAATGCCCCCCCCCCAAAAAAATCCCTGCCAAACAGCTACTAGAAGTCAATAGAGTGTGGACAAAAAAGTAAGTAGAAAGATACTGAAGTAGAAAGATACTGATACCTGGGAGAAGGGAGCCTCAGTCAGCGCCACATAAAAAAAAAGTGAGAAACCCCCAATGTTATTGGTTCAAGGTTAGAATTCAGGACAACTATAACAGCTGTCAAATGAGGGGGGGAAATGTCAGGTAAGGGAGGAGAGCCCCAAATTTTGTGTATAAACTTCTCCCAAATCTCCGCTGACCTCTGAATTACATACAGGTGAAGAAGATTCCGGCTAACTATAAAAGAACCAAAATGAAGTTTCAGATGTTGCTTGTCACAGGAAGTAAGACTTTGGGGTTCAGACAATGTTACTGCTTGCTAAAATTAAGACATTAAAACTCTGGAAAAACATAACTCAATCTAGATTTTCTATAACACTGAATTCCCAATGTTCAGGTACAATCCAATATTATTCAACAAATGAAGCAACAGGAAAAACATGATTTAAACTCAAGAAGAAAAGAGAATCAACAGAGAATGATCATGATATGCAAATGATCAATAAACAAACAAAAATATGCTCAGCAGTATTAGTCATTAGGGAAATGCAAACCAAAATCACAAGATACTACTTCATGCCTATTAGAATGACTGCAATGTCAACAATTAACAATAACAAGTGTTGGTGAGGATGTGGAGAAATCTGTACCCTATTACTTTGCTGATAGGAATGTAAAATGGTAGAGCAGCTTTGAAAAACAATGTAGCAGCCTCTCCAAACTTTAAACACAGAGTTACCATAGGACCCAGCAATCCTACTCTGACACTCCTAGGCATATATTCAAGAAAAGTAAAAACATATGTCCATACAAAAACCTGTACACGAAGGTTTATAGCAGCAGTATTCATAATAGCCAAAAAGTAGAAACAACACAAATGTCCATCAACTGATGAATGGAAAAACAAAATGTGGTATATGTTCATACAATAGAATATTGTTCAGTCATAAAAAGAATGAAATATTAATACATGCTACAACATGTATGAACTTTGAACATGGTATGCTAAGTGAAAAAAGCCAGACAAAAAAGGTCACATAGTGTATGATTCCATTCACATGACAAGTCCAAAATGGGCAAACCCATTTAGACAGAAAGTAGATTAGTGGTTGCCAGGAGATAGGGGAGCAGAGAACAGGAAGTAACTGCTAATAGATAAAAGATGTCTTTTTAACGATAGAAATTCTGAAACTGAACAGTTGTAAAGGTTGCATAGTTTTGTACATCGACTGAAAACCACTGCACTGTGTACTTTAAAGGGTAAATTTCAAATATTTCCATAAAAGAGAAAAAGTAGTGCACGTATCAATACTTTTACAGTAACCAACATAATATAAACATAAAAACCTGACAAAATATATTAAAACAAAAATTATAAACCATTTTCATCATTAACATACATGTAGAATCCTTAAAAAATCAGCAAACAGAATTTTGCAAATAGAATGTATTATCAGTTCATTGAAGGAATGCAATTGTGGTTTAACATTCAAAAATCAATTCTTATAATTCTTTAGATAAATAAAAATATTAAACATTCATAACATTGATAGAAAAAATACTAGTATCTTCTTAATAGTGAAAAGAAGCATATGACAAAATTCAACAGCCGTTCATTAATAAACTCTCAGGAAACAGGAGTATAAGGGAACTTTCATAACCTGATTAGAAAAAAAAACCCAAGAAAAAGCATCATATTTAGTAATGGAAGCAAAATAAGAATGTCCACTGTTACTACTTTTATTCGGTATTGAACAAGCAGTAGCAATGCAACAAGGTAAGAAAAAAAGAATAAAAGGCCTATAATTTTTTTTTTTTTTTTTTTTTTGAGTTGGAGTCTCACTCTGTCACCCAGACTGGAGTGCAGTGGCATGCTCCCGGCCACCGCAGCCTCGACTTGCTGGGCTCTGGCGATCCTTCCACCTCAGCCTTCCAAGTAGCTGGAACGACAGGCGTGTGCTACCACACCCAGCTAATTTTTTATTTTATTGTAGAGATAAGGTCTCACCAAGTTGCCCAAGCGGGTCTTGAACCCGCGGGCTCAGGCAATCCACTCAGCTCAGCCTCCCAAAGCACTGGGATTACAGGCTAAGCCACCGAGTCCGGCAAAAGGTCTATAAATTAGGAGAGCAAGGGAGATGAAAACTGTCTTTATTCACAAAAAATAAAATTATATTCATATAAAATACAGAAGAAAAAACACCACCAAAACAATCAGAAATAATACCAAGGTCACTAGAAATAAAGTCAGTATCTAAAAATTCTGTACTTTTTTCCCCATTTACATTTGGATATTCAATCTACACAGACTTCTGGGTATGATGTGAGGGAAGAGTCATTTTTTTTTTTTAATGTGGATATCTTGTTGACCTTGTAAAGTTTTTTTTTTTCCACCTCAGTAGAGTGTATCATAAATCAGGGGACTAGATAATCATGAATTACTACGTGCTAGCATCAAGAAGAAAATGAAATTTTAAAAAATAACATTCAGGATAGCATTAAAATTATAAAATAAAGTTGAGTGCAGTGGCACATACCCATGATCCCAGCTACTCAGAAGACTGAGGCTGGAGGACCACTTAAGCTCAGGAGTTCAAGTCTAGCCTGGGAAACAAGTGAAACTCCATTAAAAAAAAAAAAGAAACATACATATAATACATATATACATATATATAATAAGTTAAAAAAAATTTACGATATTCAGTAACAACACTATGCAAAAAACTGTAAGACAGAAAATATAATATAGCTAAATAAATGGAATAAAATATTACCTCTATAGATGGAACAATTGTATAAAATGTCAAATTTCCCCAAATGAAACTATATTTCACATAATCCCATTCAAAATTCTAGCTCTGTGTATGTGTGTGTGTGTGTGTGTGTGTAAAGTCACAAGCTGATTCTAAACTTCCTATGGAAGTTCAATGGACCAAGAATATTCAAGCTGATGTTGACAAACACAAATAAATAAAATAGAGATTCAAATGAACAAACAGCAAGACTATAAAGTTAATAATTAAAGCGGGTAATATTGGTGGCTCAGTCTGTAATCCTGTGCATTGGGGTGGCTGAGGTGAGTGGACTGCCTGAGCCCGTGGGTTTGAGACCCGCCTGGGCAGCGAGACCTCATCTCTACAATAAGTCAAAAAATCAGCCGGGCGTGGTAGTGCATGCCTGTAATTCCGGCTACTTGGAAGGCTGAGGCGGAAGGATCGCCGGACCCAGCAGGCGAGGCTGTGGTGGCCGGGAGCAGCCACTGCACTCCAGTCTGGGCAACCGAGTGAGACTCCAACTCAAAAAAAAAAGACTCATATAATAGAATAGTGAATTCAGAAACAGGCCCATACATATCCAGTCCCCTGATTTATAATACAGATAACATTGCGATGAGGTGGGAGAAAGAATGGGTCTTTTCAATAAATGGCACAAGGTCAATGAGATAGCCACATAAAAAAAATAAATAAATCATGACCCTGTACCCAAAATACTACGTAGATTGAAGATCTATCTAAATGTATATGCAAAAATAATAAAAATTTGGCTGAGGTGGAAGGATCGCTGGAGCCCAGCAGGCGAGGCTGTGGTGGCCGGGAGCAGCCACTGCACTCCAGTCTGGGTGACCGAGTGAGACTCCAACTCAAAAAAAAAAAAAAAACAATAATAATAATAATAAAAATTTTAGAAGAAAACAGAATATTTTGTGATCATGAAATCAATAAAATTTTAACTTTAAAAAATTGTGAGATAAAATATACATAATTTTCCATCTTTATCATTTTTCAGAGTACAGTTCAGTGGTAATCAAAACATTTATATTCTCTTTTTTCCTTCACTCCTCCCTCCGCCTTCCTTCTCTTCCCAGCTTCTGGTAACTACCAATCTACTCTCTATCTTCAAGAGATCCACTTTTTTAGCTCCCGCAATATTTGTCTATCTGTGCTTGGCTCATTTTCTTTAACATAATGGCTTCCAGCTCCATCAATGCTATTGCAAATGACAGAACTTCATTCTTGTTTAGGCCTGAATAATATCCCATTTGGTATATATACCACATCTTCTTTATCCATTAGTCTGCTAATAGACACTTAGTTAGATTCCACATTTTGGCTATTGTGAATAATGCCCCAACAAATAGAAGTGCAGATATCTTTTCAGGATGTTGAGTTCCTTTCTTTTGGGTATATATACAGTAGTACAATTGCTGGATCATATGGTCGTTCTATTTTTAGCTTTTTGAGTAAATTCCATACTGTTCTCCAAAGTGGCTGTATAACCTCTGTGGAAAAGAGTATGGAGATTTCCCAAAGAACTGAAAACAGAACTACCATTTCACCCAAAAATTCCATTATTGGGTATCTACTCAAAGGATAAGAAATCATTATATCTAAAAGACACCTGCACTCAGATGTTAATCACAGCACTAATCACAACAGCAAAGTCATGGAATCAGCCTAAGTGTCTATCAACAGATGACTAGATAAAGAAAATGTGGTATATATGTATATGAACGCCCCCCCCCACGGAATACTACACAGCCATAAAAAAGAATGGAATCCTGTCTTGCAGCAACATGGATGGAGCTGGAGGCCATTATCCTAAGAGAAATAACTCAGAAACAGAAAGTCAAATACTGCACAGTCTCACTTATCAGTGGGAGATAAACAATAGTTACACAAGGGTGTACAGAGGGGAATAATGGAAATTGGAGCCTCCAATAGGTGGGGGGCAGGTGATGGTTGAAAAGTTATCTATTAGGCACAATGTTCAGTATTCAGGTGATGGGTACACTAAAAGCCCGGACTTCACCACATACACAATATATCCATGTAATAAAACTGCACTTGTACCCCCTAAATTTGTAAAAATAAAAAAAAAAAAATGAAATCTATGTACTCTGAACCAGTATTTACCTTGCAAATGGAAGACGCATCAACTTGCACTGTTTACTAACTCGTTTCTTCTTGCTTCCTGGTAATAGAAAGGAACTCTGATGGAACTATTTTTGAAAAGAACAAAGAAAATAGAAAAAATCAAAGTTTCTAGCCTCACTAAATCATGTTTGTTATTAAAGTACCACATTATACAATGAAATCAATAGTAAAACAACAACTTTTGCATTAGCCTCTAACAGTTTAATGAGAATAATGTAATGATAAGGCTAAAATGCAGTTCCTCCTTAATCATGCCAACCAAAGATAATCAATAGTAATATTTTGTTATATAACCTTCCCATCATTCCTCTATGCATAGGAACAAATACATATGCATAGACCACACATATACAATATATGCAATACATTCATGTCTACATATGTATTTTGTGATATATTATTAGATTTTATAATACATATTTTTAAATGGTTTTTTAAAATCCAAAGTCTGGGTGATTAATATTCTTTTATAGTTTTGCTTATTCATATTTTCTAAATGTTTTGGCACAAATTTTTTTTTTTTGCCAGCAACAACAAATCGTTATTTTAAAAAATCATCAGATAGGCCAGGTGAAGTGGCTCATACCTTTAATCCCAGCACTTTGGGAGGCCAAAAAATGTTTTAATTATTTAATAAAGACTGGAAAATTAGACAACATACAATCATATTTTTCTATTACAGAGCTAAGCTGTAATAGAAACAGGCATAAGGCCAAATTTTAAGCTGGTTTTAAAACTCATATAGAAACACATGGAAAAGCAAACACTTAGAATAACTAAAAAAATTTTGAATAATTAAAAAAAAGCTAGAGAGTTACAGTAATTGAGAAAATGTAGTATCTACATAAAGATAGACAAAAAGACCAATGAAATAAAAGAGTCTAGAAACAGACCCACATATATTTGGTCAACTAATTTTTGAAAAAGCACAAAGGCCAAATGGGGAATCCAGACTTCCACACTTGCCAGGCAGGACAAAAGCATGTGTGTAAATCCATTCTATACTTTTCTGTATTGTTCTGATGTTAGAACCACGTGCCTACATGACTCATTACCTTTGCTGCTCAACAACAACCAAAACAAAAGAAATTACAAAACTTGATGCACAACAGTTAGTCTGTGCCTTGGCCCTCCAGCTCCTCCATCCACCTGCTCTCTGTTGCTCACATTTCCTTAATCCTACCTTAGTGCTACCTCAACCCTCTTCAGCCCAGTTCTCCAAAAAGAAGCACACAGAAAGCATTTAGGAATAATGTCAACTTAAAGATCTTATAAAGAACCAATAGACAGAAGGGGCCCTATATATCCTATCCACTTACAACAAACAGCTGAGCAATTTGTTCAGGGCTATCTGTCTTCCGGAGTTCCTTGGGGGCTGGGTGATATGACCCACCCCACTTCCTCATATGCCAAACTGGATTCTTCCTCTTCTTCTCCAACTCAATCCCTCTACTGACTCTGCATACCTCACTGCAGATTCACATGTTAGTTACTTATCAGAACAACTCAATTCTGTTCTGGCAGTTTGGAAGACTGAAGTGGAAGGATTGCCGGAGCCCAGCAGCAACCCTGCGGTGGTCATGAGTGTGCCACTGCACTCCAGCCTGGGCAATGGAGTGAGACTCCAACTCAAAAAAAAAAAAAGAGCAAAATAAGCAAAACAGAGCCCCCTCCCTAACTTTCTTCACCCATCTACCCAGAGAAATGTACCTCTTCTCCTTAGGGGCTGTTAAATATGTATAAGGCATACCCTTTCACTGGTTGTGCTAGGTAGCACATTCATAATGCTAGCAGCTAGCCACACCTCCTATGAACATGATTCCACATGGACATTTACACACAGCATTTCTGCATTCAAATGTGGATTAAGTTAGACAACAAAGGACCTATTCTTTGGCTAGCTTTCATAAAAGTCTGACAAAGAAACTAAATAATGACTACATTGGTTGAAAGAGCTCATACCTTCTTACCACAAAGATCATGCATTTAAATTCAATGAAGAATCTTTTTTTTTTTTTTGAGTTGGAGTCTCACTCCATTGCCCAGGCTTGGTGCCCAGGCTCATGGCCACCCCAGTGCTGCTGCTGGGCTCCGGCAATCCTTCCACCTCAGTCTTTCAAGTTGCCGGAACTACTATTGTAGAGATGCCATCTAGCCAAGTTGCCCAGGCTGGTCTCAAACCTGTGGGCTCAGGCAATCCAATTGCCTTGGCCTCCCAAAGTGCTGGGATTACAGGTTGAACCACCGAGCCTGACCAATAAAGAATCTTATAAACGAGTTTTAAAAGAAGGGATTTGCCGAAAATTTAGGAAAAAAAAAAAAAATGTGTGTGTGATAAAAAAGGAATGATAACTAATAAGTACTACATTCTTTAAATTATCAGAACATGTGCTAGCCACATTTAACTCTTACAGTAACTCTTTGTAGATATACTACCATTTTATCCACTCCTTTGCAGATGAGGAAACTAGGGTCCAAAGAGCTTAAGTCCAAGGTCATAGAACCAGGAAGCAAGAAGCTGGATCTAAATCCAGGCAACCCCATTTAATAGGCACAGGTTGAAGCACTAAACTGCCCCCAGAATCTACACAGAAATTCATCTAAAATGGAGACTTTACTGGACTTTCTTCAGTTTGTATATTTTGCCTTCTCATTATCCTTCACAATACTATTTTTCCTATTTAGAGATATGGGTTAATTTCACTAATTTCTCCTTTCCTGATTTTTCTGATTGCATTCTCCTTGTTAGATTATAAAAGCTCTTTAGCTATTGATAATATTAATACTTTGTCATATGTTTAGTTTTCCAAGTTTGTAATTTATCTTTTATTTTTATGACTTTTAACTTTCTGAAAATTTTTTTCTGAGAAAAATCCATTAAATGCTTCCTTTATGGTTTCTATCTTTACTGCTAGGTATTAAATTCATATGTATTTTCTTCTCATTTTACAGGATTTCCTTTATTACATTAAAATCTAGGTGCAGTGGCCAGGTGCAGTGGCTTATGCCTATAATCCCAACACTTTGGGAGACCGAGTGAGAAGACTGCCTGAGCCCACAGGTTAGAGACAAGTCTGGACAACTTGATGAGATCTCATCTCTATAATAAATCAAAAAAATTAGCTGGGCGTGGTAGCACATACCTGTAGTTCCAGCTACTTGGAAGGTTGAGGCAGAAGGATAGCCTGAACCCAGAAGGTTGAGGCTGCGGGGGCCATGAGCGTGCCACTGCACTCCATCCGGGGTGACACAGCGAGACTACAGCAACAACAACAACAACAAAGCCCTTGCTGGGTTCAGTGGCTCAAGCCTGTAATCCAGCACTTTGGGAGGCCAAGGTGAAAGGACTGCCTGAGTCCATGGGTTCGAGACCAGCTCTGGGTGACAGAGTGAGACTCCAACTCAACAAATAAATAAAATAAAATCCATCTAGAATTAATTTTAGAAAGTGGTATAAAGTGGGATCTGTCTCTATTTTTTTCCCCAAATAGTTTTTCAATTGTATCCATCTTTTAAAAAAAATAATAAGGTCTTTCCTAATTTGAAATACTCTCTTTCTACCACTGTCTTTATGTTTCTGAGTCTGTTTAGGGGCCAATATGTTCCACTGAGCTGTCTAATCCTGTTACTTTTAATAAAAACTTAAGTTTGTATAAAAGTTTCAATAACCAGTTATACAAAGGGATAATATGCCATCAGCCAGCTAACACTGATATTTTCACCATTTCTTTGCTAAAGTTTGAAATATGAATCTATAACCTTTGATACTATTTAACTAATCTCAATTATCTCAGTAATCTAAAAAATGACACTATTTACATACAGAGTCTACTTACCTCTGAGAGACTGCTCATTTCAATTGCAGTTATCAAGCTATTGCTCATGAAAGCTTCTGTTTCTATAAGCTTCTTATTCTGTATATGTAAAAACAAAGACAGATCCCTTTTAATCAGCTATGACTTGAAGTTTATTATACCATGCATTTATAAATACCATCCATATGAATTACATTGGGCTAACAAAGTACTATTTTATACAGTACAAGTAGCCATACACACACACAGAGAGAGAGACACACACACCTTTAGTGTTTTGGAGCTATCAAAATTATAAATCTTCCTATAAACATTCTTCTACCTTCTTATAATATATCACATGGCAAGAGAGTTTGTCAGCCACGGGGATTCAACCCCCAAGTATAGTAAGTCATTTTCCATTTTAAGCTGAGTTCTGCTCATTTTGGGTTTAGATCTATAGTTACAGTTCAGCTCACCATTGGCTCTCACTGCCCTGGAAACTGTATGTTGGAAGGAAAAGCACCCACTATAATCTTCAGCCTATTAGGCTTATGCCCATTGAAATGTATCGATTAAAGGAGAATAAGAGCGTTCTGGGAACTCCCTTCCTTTCAACTCACTGGAAGAATTGTGACATCTTTAGAAAATGTATTAGTGCACCAAGCATAGCTTATGATAAGCATTCCTATGTTGATCAAGGTATTAGACTGGTTTGCGAACCACACACATTTAGATGCAGATTTAAAACACCTAATTTGTTACCCACTAAATTAGTCCTTTAACATAGTTTTACATGGCATACTGACTTTCAATAATTTTCCACAACTGAAGATTTTAAAAACATTTTTATAGTATCTATAGCAATGTAGCTAAAAGTTATAAGCTGTAATTTAGGATCTAAAATAATATAGCTTCCGTACCAAGTTATTTAGCTTTAGGCGAAGAAATGAGTTCTCAAAATTCAGTTTCTCCACTTCTTTTTGCAAAAGCATCTTTTCAGTTGTAATTCTTTGAGAATTCTCTTTTTCTCTACTAAGAGCCTGAGCTAATGCCCTGTTGTTGTGCTTTAAAGAGATTTTGAAAATAGAAGAATTGTCTGTAAAAAAGATTTTAAAATATGTTAAAATTGAGCTTTTGCCTTCATACATTTTTATATTCCTTAGTAAAACTATTTTAGACAAACTATATTTCCCTTTATAAGTTTTAATTGAAGTCTGGAAAAGAAGAGAATAACAATGCAGATGTAGTTTTGAAAAGAATATAAGCCCAGCATTTAGACCTTAAGAAATAAAATCTAGAGATTAGATGAGGAATACAGAATGTAGTATATATGGAGTTAGGAATAAGAGGCCTGGAGCCTAGGCAGTGTTCTACATAATGAGATCGATCAGTCACAGGAACTGAGTCTGACAACTTGTTGCCTCCCTGCTTCATGTCATTATTCAATAACATATTCCACTGAATAAAAGTATAATGCATATAAAATAAGTTTCATAAAATTTAATAACTTTTTAAAGTACTTAGGGAAAATGTGGGATTCTAAAAAACATCCCCACCATCCAGCCGCTACAGCATGCCAATACGATCTGCTACTCTGTTTGGCTCTTTTCCAGAAAAGTTACATTGGTATTTTCTTTGCACTGTAGGAGATAGTGTCATGGGACTCCCCAGCCTCACCCCCACTGAAGATTCAGCTGTCATCACTGAGGGTAAATCATCAAAACATCCAACTAATGGGAGTTGAAGGAGATAGGAAGAATCAAAGAAAAAAAAGTGTCAGCTAACAAAACAGTCATTCATTTTAGTAATTTTGATAAAATAAGGTAGCAAATACATCAACTCTCCAAGGAAAAGTAAAAGGTCTCTTATAAACCTACTTTAAGATTAACGGCACTTACTATTTTTGAAGCAAGAGAAACATTCAACTTAGCAGTCTTTGAAACTAACAGCACTTACTTAATATTTTTGTTTTGATTTTTGAAGCAAGAGAAACATTCAACTTAGCAGTCTTTGAAATTCTTTTGTCTTTCACATGTTTCTTAATTCCTGAGGTAAAAAGCGGGCCACTTTCTGTCACCGGGCACTGCATCACTAAAGTGAAAGAAAACAAAAGAAATCTTGGCATTGATTAATAAAAAAACGGTAAAAACTGATCAATACATATTAAAAAGTAACAATCATGCCTTAATATAGTTTGTACATTAATTATTCATAAAACTCCTTGTATCAAAGCTAAAAGTATGAATGTGATCAAAAGTGGTTTAAAGTATTATCTACATCTCACCTTCTTGAGCCAGCCTCTCCCCTGTGGACAGTCTCCTGTGCTGGTCAGATGGGGGATGGGTTTCCTCCACAGCCCTGCAAGAGGCTGAGACGTTCCTGCTTGCAGACATTCATCCTCTCCTCCCTTAAAATCCCTAGCCTTGAATACAGTGTCACTGGACTCTATGGCCCCTTACCCTTCATGGCTATTACCAACCACCAACTCCTCCTCATCAGTGGACAATTTCACACCCTGGCTCAATGTCATTCTCTGAGAACAAGAAAGCAACCTACAGAGCGCTTTCTCAAGATTCCCATTACATTTCCTTCCTGCTATCCTGTATGTCACACATCTGGTTCCTCTCCTACTGTAGATACAACAGTGCTCCTGTCTGTGACCACATTTGCCTGCATAGACACAGATCCATGCCTTCCTGCCTTCTCAAATGTATCACTCCAACAATTCTCTCCTCTTCATCATTAATTTATTCTTTCTCCACTGGATCATTGTCATCAACATACACATTGCCCTCCTCTCACCTTAAAGAACCCTCTTTTACTCCTACTTCTTCCTAGTCTACCATTCAGATTCTCTGCAGACCTTGACAGTCAAGCTTCTGGAAAGCATAGTCTATATTCAGTTTCCAGATCTCTCATAAACCTATTTCAAGCACTTTCACTTTGACTACTCTACCAAAGCTGCTTTTGCCAAGGTCTCTAACAACCACTCCATGCTGCTAAATCTAATGGTCAATTCTTGGCCCTCTTGCTAACTTGATCTATTAGCAGCATTTAATATGGTTCATTTCTCCTTCTACCTCAAAAACTACCTTTCCTTAGCCTCCAGAACACCACACTCCTGGATTTTTCCCTACCCAACTACTTGTTCCTTCTGTCTCTTTTACAGGTTCTTCAACCTACAACAGGCTCCCTCCCTGGATCTCCTCTCTTGATGTGCACTCCTTTGGTGATGTCACACAGTCTCATGGCTGAAAATACCATCTAGATGCCAAGAACTCCAAAATGGAGGTCCTCAGTGTGGATCTCTTTTCCTGACCTTTCCCAGATTCATAGATCTGACTGTCTACTCAACAATTCCACTGGGATAACTAAAATAGATGCATCCAATTTAACCTGCCCAAACCTGCTTCCTTCGGGGCCAACCCCATTTTAATTAGAGACAACTCCATCCTTCCAGTTGCTCAGGCCAAGGCTCTCTCATTTCTCAATCTTTCATGATTTATTAGAATCTGACCACTTCTCCTTATGCCAACTGCAACTAACCTAGCCAAGGTACTGTTATGTCTTACTTGAATCTGTCAATACTTTGTTTTTCTACTTCCATAGCTACTCTCCCTACACTGTACACATATATACAATCTAAAACTCTACAGTTGTCCCCACTTCTCTCCAAAGTCCTTCCAATGGTCTAGAAGTCTCGCCGCCATCTGCTCTTCTTCTCATCTCTCTAATTTGAACTCCTCCTTCTCTCCCTCCAGCTCATTCCCCTCAGGCCACCAGGAACTCACTGTTCCTGGCATATGCCAGGCATTCTTCAACCCCAGGTCCTTTGCACTATTCTCCATTTGGAATAAATATCTTTTGTTTAGAAATCTCTTCCTCCAGGCCAGGCTCGGTGGCTCAGCCTGTAATCCCACATGTTATTGAATTTATTTATCATCTATCTCCCTCAACCAGAATTTAAATTCCAGGACGTCATGGATTTTTATGTTTTATTCACTGATACATTCACTCCCCCACTAAAAGAATAGTACCTGGAGAATGGTGGGAACACAGTAAATATTTGTTGAATAAATAAATAAGTCTTAAAAACTAAGACTTGTCAGGCATCAAAATCAGGCAGAGTATCCCAGGAAGACATAATGGCATGTGTAAATGCATGAAAATGAAACAGTGAAAAAACTACAAGTGTCCCTTGATGCTAGAATGCTATGACCCTATTTCTTTGCTTGCCCTTACAGCACAATTCCTTCAGAGCTGTCTATGACTGCTGGCTCCAATTTCATTGACCAGTTTCTCTTGATCCATTACAATGAAACTTTGCTGCCATCACTCTGTTAAAACCATTCATTGGGCCGGGCTTGGTGGCTCAGCCTGTAATCTCAGCGTTTTGGGAGGCCGAGGTGAGTGGATTGCCTGAGCCCATGGGTTCGAGACCCGCCTGGGCAACTTGGTGAGACCTCATCTCTACAATAAATCAAAAATTAGCTGGGCATGGTAGCGTGCACCTGAAGTTCTGGCTACTTGGAAGGCTGAAGCGGAAGGATCACTGGAGCCCAGCAGGTCGAGGCTACAGTGGCCGGGAGCGACCACCGCACTCCAGTCTGGGTGACAGAGTGAGACTCCAACTCAAAAAACAAAAACAAAAAAAACCATTCATCGAGACACTAAATTACCATGCTGTTAAACCAAATACAGTGGTCAAGGCCCAGTCCTCATTTTACTTGATCTGTGAGCATTTAATGTCAGATCATTCCCTCCTCTTGAAAATCATTTCTTCACTTGGCTTTCAAAAGAGCACGTTCTTCTAGGGTTTCTCCTGCCTCACTGACCACGTGTTCTTCATCTCTTTGGTCAGTTATTCTTTCTCTCTCTAACCTCTCAGCACCGGAGTGTCCCAGACTTCAGTCCTTGGATCTCATCTCTTTTATATCTACATACACTCCCTGGGGCTACCCACCAGTGTCCTGGCTTGTCAGTCTAAATAGCAATGACTCTCAAATTTATATTCTCAATCTAGACTTCTCCCTTGAACTCCAGATTTATTCATGCAAATGCCTACTGCATGTCTGACACGCATTTCAAATTCAACATGCCCTAAACTCCCCGCCCCAAACCTGCTCCACATGCCCTTCCCAGCTCACTTAATGACAACTGCATCCTTCCAGTTGCTCAGGTCAGAACTTCTCTTTCTTTCACATCCCACACCCACTTTCTCATCAATCATGCTGGCCCAAATTTTACAACACATCCAAATGGGCCACTTACTACTATTTCTACTGCTACCACTTTGATCCGAGTTACCATTCTCTCCCTTGTGTATCATTGCTACAGCTACCTAAATGGTGTTCCTATTTCCATTTTCTTCCCCACTATTCTCAACCTTGCAACCAAAATGATCCTTCTACACTTAAAACTCATGTTACTCCTATGTCAAAACCTCTCCAGTGGCTTTCCATCTCAACCTTTACAATGGCCTAGAAAGTACTATACCATCTGACACTTCTCCCCATCCCCAGTCCCTACCAGTGCATCTTGCGACCTTCCCACTGCTCTTCCTCTTGCTCACTAAGCTCCATCCAGCCACACTGGCCACCTTGACATGCCTCAGTGCAGAGCCTTTGCATTTCTTTTCTCCATTGTATCAACTCTTCCTTCAAAGGACCACAGGGCTTACTCACTTCCTTCAGTCTTCACTCAAATGTCAGTCTTGGTGAGTCTTCCCAGTCCAAACTATGTAAAACTGCACACCTATCCCCATTTCACCCCCGTTTTAGTTTTCTCCATTAACTTATCAGTGTCTAACATAAAATTAAATAATTTTCTTATTTAACTTATGTTTGTTTTCTCCTACTAAGATGTATGTTCAAGAAGAGCTTGTTCGCCTAGAACAGTGGCTGCCACAAAGCAGCTGCTGAATAAATACTTATTGAAGAAGTGACTGGGAGAATTTTCCAATACTAAATATTGCCCAATCATGGGATGGGTTACCTGTGAAAGTGTTTACCAGATATCAGGAGGTGTCAAGCAAAAAACAGAAAGATGGTTTTAGAAGAAATTTCTGCAATAGGGAATAAGTTGAACTAGGCACCTTTCAACATTAAGAATCAATGCTGCTTCTAAAAGTTTTGTCAAAAGAAAATTTAAAATCAAAGACCACTATTTATTCCATAAACAACAGATCATAGGAATAACAGAAACTCCACACAAACTGTTGCATGTCACTCAACTAAAAGGGATCCTAACATAGAAATCTAGGCCGGGCTCAGTGGCTCAGCCTGTAATCCCAGCACTTTGGTAGGCTGAGGTGAGTGGATTGCCTGAGTCCACAGGTTTGAGACTAGCCTGGGCAACATGGCAAGCCCCCATCTCTACAATAAACAAAAAAATTAGCCAGGGGGTGTAGCGCCCATCTATAGTTCCAGTTACTTGGAAGACTGAGGCGGAAGAGTCTCGGGAGCCCAGCAAGTGGATGCTGGGGTGGGTGTGAGTGTGCCACTGCACTCCAGCCTGGACGACCGAATGAGACTCCCAACTCAAAAAAATAAGTAAGTAAGTAAATAAATAAATCTAATTCATCTCCCCCAAAAAATCCAATCCAATCAGGAATATCAAACCTCATTTTACTAATTAGGAAACCACAGCTGAACTGCCCTCCCAGATAAGCTGGTTCTTTTTAAAAAATATAACTTTATTTTATTATAGAGATGTGGGGTATAAATCAGGATTAGGTACATAAGTAATCTACATGCAGGTGTAAGCCGGTTTACAGTTCTCTAATTTAATAAACAGCACTATCAATCACCTACTCAAATGCTCATGCCAAAAGTCTGGGAGTCTTCCTTAACACTACCCTGTCACGCCCCCCACAGACTTCAATGAACTCACCAAGTGGCACTTTAGGAGCCAGAATCAGGTCCTTAGAGTACTGAGACATTATTGACAGTGCCTAGAATTTGCTTGGAGTCCCAGTTCCCACATGTCATAGCTATGCGATCTTAACACCTCTAAGCCTCAATCTCCAGATTTATAAAATTATAGAAAATAAGGGCAGGTCCTCGCGATACTAAATGAGTGGTGCCTAGC